TGGCCCTCGAGACGCTAGCAGACGTCGGTTGACGCTGGCAAACGGTGGACGGTAGGATCACGTATGTGACGGTAGGATCACGCGGCGTCGCGCACGATAAGTTGCAAATATCGCATGGTTACGATCGGCGCGCTCGCGATAGTTCTGTTATACCGTTGCTAGGGGGAGGGGGCGAGCGACGCTGCGCCCGATGGACGAGTTGTCTCGCCTGTCCGTATGAATTTGGCGCGCGACGACGACTCATGCTGCTATTGCTTTGTCTATCTCCTCACAATGAATGATCAACGTCGAAGTCCTTGTCTTTCTTCTTTAAGCTTTTAGCTTACGGTAACTGTGTAGTTATAACGTCGTGGAGCTAATAAAATTAATGGCAGCCAGACTCATACTGGTTCAAGTTTGGCTTTAGGCAGCGTACAGACTTTCCGATGACGCGCGTCGACGCTCTGCAACGCGCGACGACGCACGACGTAGCGTGCTATAGTTGCAACATCGCTTCAATCGTATAGACGCGAAGGCAGCCGCATTCGAGAATCGATCGCCGTCGCTCGTGTGTTGGGAGATTATGGGGAACTGGAGGGCACGTGTTGCCTTATCACGCAGTCTGGTATCGATTGGCGTTGACCGCCAGGGTGGCGCCAACAGATTCGTCTGCGGCTGTTTATAGGATTGGAGCGCTGTTGCAATTGTGGCACGTAATGGCGCACTACCACGCGTCGTCGCGCGTCGATGCGCGACGCATCGCGAAGTCTGAACGAAACCTTTGAACCTTATTCAAGATGTTTTTTAAGAGGGTTGTCACTGCATTGGTCACACTTTTCTTCATTACTCGTGTGAGCTGTCAATATCAGCGATATAATTACTACTGGTGAGCTTGTTGCAGTTTTATGAACACTTCTTGTAATGAGTTGGCTTACTTGAATTTTTTACTTATGGCACTAGTCGGCTTGGAGGGGGCATTTTGCGCTTTTGCTAGGTCCTGTAGTTAAGTTATTTCACAGATTTCACAAAGTGATCTGTTCACTTTTGTGAAGCTAGGAAACGGTGAAATGAACCACTTTGAAGTACCATTCGGTGCCCCACCAAGCCCAACTGCGCCTTAGTTTTTATAATTAATTTACACAATTTTATGAGGATTTTTGAATAAAAA